ATCACCTTGCAGGAGGTCCAATAGATGCTCTGCGCATCACCTTGCAGGCAGTCCAATAGATGCTCTGCGCATCACCTTGCAGGCGGTCCAATAGATGTTCTGCGCATCACCTTGCAGGAGGTCCAATAGATGTTCTGCGCATCACCATGCAGGCGGTCCAATAGATGCTCTGCGCATCACGCTTGCAGGCAGTTCAATAGATGTTCTGCGCATCACCGTGCAGGCAGTCCAATAGATTTTCTGCGCATCACCTTGCAGGAGGTCCAATAGATGCTCTGCGCATCACCGTGCAGGCAGTTCAATAGATGTTCTGCGCATCACGTGCAGGCAGTCCAATAGATTTTCTGCGCATCACCTTGCAGGGAGGTCCAATAGATGTTCTGTGCATCACCTTGCAGGAGGTCCAACTCACCTTGCAGGCGGTCCAACAGCTGCTGCTTGCTGTGGGTCACCAGAGAGGAGAGCATGGGGGCCAGGAGCGCAAGCAAGGGCACGAGAAGAGGAGGATCCAGGCTGCTCTGTGCACAACCACTGCACAGAGGGAGGTAAGCCTTATAAACATGTTTCTTTTTTTTTTTTTTAAATGCACAATCACTTAAAGGGCAAGTATGCCAGGAGGGTTCCCACTCCTCAAAAGGCACGGTGGGCACACTGGATGGCCAGCAAGAGAACAATGGCAGCTGAAGACATCCAATGTGTCCTCCCCAAATTCAAAATAATCAGTGCGGATAAGTGGCAACACCCCAATCTCTAATAGCCTTTGCAGTAAGGTGCATATTGAAGGGCAACCCACATCACGGAGAGAATTATTTCCCACACTTATTTTTTTTTAACAATCCCAATTCATGTTTAAAACAGGGAGACTCCATTGCAAACTATATGTGGCCTCACCAGAGTACACTGGGGCTGTTGGGTCCAAAGTGAGACGTTGCACATGGCAAGAGGGGGCTTGGGGGGTGGTATGCTGCACAAGGGAAATGTTTTAACCTTTATGCATAGAATAATGAAGATAAAAAGCCTTGAGCCTTTACAATCACTTTAATCTATCCTCTGTCATATGTGATCCAACTTGGAAACTCTGAAAACTATAGAGTTAGGACGGCTGTATACAGAGGAGCCTGGTGAGGCACTGCGACTTACACATATATTAAACAATTCATGTTTAAAACAGGAGGGTTTAGTTGCACACATTTGCAAATACAGTTGTGTTCAAAATAATATCAAGTCAGACATCACTAAACCGGATCAATCTCTGTTTTTGGGAGAAATATATTACTACACGGCAAATAATTTCCTAGCAGGTGTAGTAGAGTAATAGAAATCCAACAGACCCGACAGTCATGACATGCATGCTGCTGATCTCTGTGTCATTGAATCACTCATTGAAAGGGGCGTGTTCAAATAATAGCAGTGTGGAGTTCTATTAGTGAGGTCATTCATTCTTTGAAAAACAGGTGGCAATTATTGCCCTTATTTAAGGAAGGAAGGCAGCAAATGTTGGACATGCTGGTTACAGTGCATTTCTCTCTGAAATTCTGATGGAAAATGGGTCGTTCCAGACATTGTTCAGAAGAACAGCGTACCTTGATTAAAAAGTTGATTGGAGAGGAAAACATATAAAGAAGTGCAGAAAATGATCGGCTGCTCAGCTAAAATGATCGCAAATGCTTTAAAATGGCAACCTAAACCTGAAAATGTGTGGAAGAAAGCGAAAAAAACTACCATTGGAATTGGAAGAATAGCCAAAATGGATGGACTCGGCGCAACAATCAGCTTGAAGATGAAAGAAGGTGTGACGTTCCCTGATTACAAAAGTAAGACGCCTATGTTCTGCAAGAGAAGTCCCGCAAAGTTGTTGGAAAAATACATGTGCTGAAGAGGTTACAATCTGCCAAAGCCACATTGACTGGCCTAAAGAGAAATGGCCAAACATTTTGTGGATCTGATGAAAGTAAGATTGTTCTTTTTGGGTCTAGTGGGCGGAGACAGTTTGTCAGACGACCCCCAAACACTGAATTCAAGCCACAGGACACTGTGAAGACAGTGAAGCATGGTGGTGCAAGCATCATTGATATGGGGATGTTTCTCATACTACGGTGTTGGGCCTATTTATCGCATACCAGGGATCATGGATCAGTTTGAATACATCAGAATACTTGAAGAGGTCATGCTGCCTTATGCTGAAGAGGAAATGCCCTTGAAATGGGTGTTCCAACAAGACAATGACCCCAAACACACCAGTAAACGTGCAACATCTTGGTTCCAGACCAACAAGATGGACGTTATGGAGTGGCCAGCCCAATCCCCGGATCTCATCCAATAGAAAACTTGTGGGGTGACATCAAAAATGCAGTTTCTGAGGCAAAACCAAGAAATAGAGAAGAACTGTGGAATGTGGTCCAATCATCCTGGGCTGGAATACCTGATCACAGGGGCCAGAAGTTGGGTGACTCCATGCAACACAGATGTACAGCAGTTCTCAGAAACAGTGCGACTACAACCAAATATTCATGAAGTCATTCAAAGGAAAGCAAAATCTTCAAACATTTCTCAGTTTATATAGTGAATGTTTGAGTTTGTAAAGAAGAATACAAAACACTGCGTTTTTGTTTGAACCGTCAAATATTCACTTTTCTTCATTTTTTTTAGAGGAACAACACAAATTTGATGTATTTTTCTTCATGTTGTGATTTGGAATAGAATGTGTCGTGTTCCCAATGCATTTGTGTGGATGGAAATAAAAGCTATTAGAAGGATTTTCAGCTTTATTCACTTTTTTCAACACACTGATATTATTTTGAACACAACTGTGTATGTGTAAGCCGCAGTGCCTCACCCCGGCTCCTCTGTATACTGCGGTCCTAACTCTATAGTTCTCAAAGTCCCCAAGCTGAGACTCCATTGCACATTGCTGGACCGAGAGGGGGCTTAGGGGTGAGTATTGGCGAAGGGGCTGGGGGGGGGATGCTGCACAGAGAAATGTTTTTACCTTTATGCATAGAATGCTTGAAGGTAAAAAGCCTTGAGCCTTTACAACCACTTTAATCTATCCTCTGTCATATGTGATCCAACTTGGAGACTCTGAAAACTATAGAGTTAGGACGGCTGTATACAGAGGAGCCTGGGTGAGGCACTGCGGCTTACACATATATTAAACAATTCATGTTTAAAACAGGAGGGTTTAGTTGCACACATATGTGTAAGCCGCAGTGCCTCATCCAAGCTCCTCTGTATACTGCGGTCCTAACTCTATAATTTTCAGAGTCCCCAAGCTGGAACACATATAGCAGTAGATAAATTGCTAGTCATTTGCCTGGAGGTAGCCCACCCCTCTTTAAAAGGCACAGGAGCCAAACCCTCGGCTTCAGCAGCCATAAGCTTGTTTTTTTTTTTTTTGCGGTCTTCACTTGAAGGATGACTCTGGAGTCTGGGCCGAGACCTCTTGAGGTCTGTTTGTGTCTTCCTTTTCAATCTGCCTGAAACCATCTCTCAGCTTCATAACAGCTCCTGAGTGTTCTTCACATTCCTGCTGACTACAGGACTGTGAGATCTGATATTGTTATGTATACTGAGGAGCTGGGAGGTAGCATGCATCTTCTGCATGAGGTCAGATGCTTAATAGGGCAATGACTGACAGCTCGGACTCCAGTCATCCTCAATAAGAAAAGCTAAATAAATCACTCATAGGCAAGTCCGCACAGTCCTCCGGGGTCAGCAGTCCTGACCCACTGTAGGCGGCTATAATGCAGCTCCTGTGTTTCATCTCTCATTGCACAGGAGGGATCGATGGAAGAAACGTGTTCATTGTATGAGAGGGATATGTGCTCTATGGAGGCTGCGGGTGCTCACAGATCTTACAATGACAGCCGGCATTGTCTTCATAGTCTATCATCTCCAGCTGAAATGTCAAGAACGCAGAGCCGTACAAAGCCAGAACACGGAGCTCAGCTAATAGACTCCACTGCATTGTACTGACACTGACAGCGAGAGGACACGATTGTAATCTGCAAGCCGGGAAGACAAGAAGAAAATCAAACACCGGTGATGATTAAAGGAACAAGTTCAGAGAAAATACCAAAAAAGACCAAAAGAATAGGGTGATAGAGGGCAGTGGAAGGTGCAGGAACATACCCATCCTACCAAAATCACTCGTCCTAAAATCCTGGAGGTCACTGAACCTGGGAGCCGCAGTATCAAAATATGGTGGACGATGCTTTATGGTGGACGATGCTCAGACACCTGCATCCTTCAATGTGGGCATCTCAGTATCAGATAATACTCCTATCAATGCATGGCTATAGGTCAACTTTTCTACCCCAGAGGAATCCTTGAAATAATTTTCATGTCTCAGGGATCCCATACTAAAACTAATTAATTGGTGTTTAGTGGGAAGAATGTCCCTTACATTGGTGGTCAGTGGGAAGAATGCCCCTTACATTGGTGATCAGTGGGAAGAATGCTCCTTACATTGGCGTTTAGTGGGAAGAATGTCCCTTACATTGGTGATCAGTGGGAAGAATGCCCTTACATTGGGATCAGTGGGAAGAATGTCCCTTACATTGGTGATCATTGGGAAGAATGTCCCTTACATTGGTGATCATTGGGAAGAATGTCCCTTACATTGGTGATCAGTGGGAAGAATGTCCCTTACATTGGTGACCAGTGGGAAGAATGTCCTTTACATTGGTGGTCAGTGGGAAGAATTCCCTTACATTGGTGATCAGTGGGAAGAATGCTCCTTACATTGGTGGTCAGTGGGAAGAATGTCCCTTACATTGGTGATCTGTGAGAAGAATGTCCCTTACATTGGTGGTCAGTGGGAAGAATGTCCCTTATATTGGGGGTCAGTGAGAAGAAGCTTCTTACATTGGGGGTCAGTGGGAAGAATGCCCCTTACATTGGTGGTCAGTGAGAAGAATGCCCCTTACATTGGTGATCAGTGGGAAGAATGTCCCTTACATTGGAGGTCAGTGGGAAGAATGTTCCTTACATTGGTGATCAGTGGGAAGAATGCTCCTTACATTGGTGGTCAGTGGGAAGAATGTCCCTTAAATTGGTGGTCAGTGAGAAGAATGCCCCTTACATTGGTGATCAGTGAGAAGAATGCCCCTTACATTGGTGGTCAGTGGGAAGAATGCTCCTTACATTGGAGGTCAGTGGGAAGAATGTTTCTTACATTGGAGGTCAGTTTGAAGAATGCTCCTTACATTGGTGGTCAGTGGGAAGAATGTTCCTTACATTGGAGGTCAGTTTGAAGAATGTTCCTTACATTGGAGGTCAGTTTGAAGAATGCTCCTTACATGGGTGGCCAGTTGGATACACAATCTAGCTGCCTTGACAAGATGCAAAGCTATTGATCAGAAGTATGCAGACTTAGGGAGGGATGTATGGTGTAGTAGAAATTGGGTCAGAGAGAAATCCAAGTTGTATGTTGTACTCTTGGAAATGAGACTGAGGATATCTGTCCAGTATTGCTGTAAGGAGGGGGGACGGCCATCATATGTGTAAAAGAGAGCTAGATTCAGATTTGCATCTCCAACACTTGGGGGACAACTGGGGAGAACCTATGTATCAAGTGAGGTGTTCTATATCATCTGAAGAAAATCCATTTTCCTGCAGCGAGACATTTACAGAACCTTTGTTAAAGAACTGTTGGGACTATCTTGATTAATATGTTAAAGCAAAATCAGCCAAAAATGTGAAAAGAAAGTAGGCACCCAGAGGATACTTATCGGAAACCCAAACAAGGGAGCAGAGGTAACTTCACTCACTGTGTCACGCTCTCTGGTTAGCAGAGAAGGCGGGCAGGCTGATCCCATGCTGGATCCTTTGGGTCTCCGAGGGGGGAGAGTCGAAGGGCAGAGATCGCCTTGGACAAGATCGCTGGTCACGGGGTGCAGTGGCATCTCCAGAGTGAAGTGCAGATCCAAGTGACAGTTGATGAAAGGCACTGTACCAATCAGGAAGCTCTATCAGAGGAAGATGCTCAGCCACCGCAGAACTGTGGCAGGTCTTCTGGAACTCTGAGTAAAGCAGTGTGGCCCATAGCGGAGGCTGAAAGGGGGATAGGGAACGTCCACCTGTAGGGTATCACTCTGAAGCAAAGAAGATCTAGGAGCGGGTGCAGATCTCAACAATTCTGAAGCGTGATAGTAGACAGGTTTTGGAATATCTGAATTTCTGCCCTGCCATGAGTGATGCGGCATTGTGCTCTTCTCTTCCATAATATCTCCTCTTTCAGGGAGTAATTCACCAGGCAACCAACGATATCTCTGAAGGGATCAGTGTCTCTGCCCCAGGGTCATAAGGTACAAAGTATTCTTCATCTTGATGGGAGTTTCAAGTGGCCATTTCAAGATGTCATTGAAAATATGGATGACCAACTTAGCCAGTTGCTTTTGCTCCACTGACTCAGGCAAACCCCTTGGAAGAAGCTTTTGAAGTCGGCCTCGGTTGTCCAGGACTTCCTTGTGTCACTTAAGTTCTCTCAGTTGCAGCGTGTGGTTGTCCAACACCTTGGAAACCTCCTGGATGGCAGCCTCATGATGAGTTATGGTTATCGCCACATCATGGGGCGATTCTCTGTATTTCATGGCACAGGTCGGAGAGCGCTGCAGAGAGGGTATCCTTAATATTAGCTGCAATAGTGCGGAGGTCACTCAAGCTTGGTGTTAGCTGAGAGGAGGGATCACTCAGAGAGATATGTGTGGATGTTGGGGCTTCAGCTGGATGAATGGAAGGCAGCTTGTGAGGATGCAACCAGATCCTGTTGTTGAATTCAGAATAACTCCGGAACGTTGTGGTTCAATTGCATCTCTGAATCTCTAGGAGAACGGGACTGGGACGCCGAAGCATTGCAGGATGATTTACCCATGGTGAGTGAATAGAAAATCTCTGTTTGGGCTGAAAGAAATCATCTGGCAGCAGGAGATCCGAGCTTAAGTGGTCTTCTTGGTCCGAGGTCAAACCAAATACTCCAAAAATAAACTATTAACACTTCGATTTCTGAAGGAATTCTTCATTACAGCATTTTTCACACCTGCCTAAAACTTTTGCACAGTACTGTATATTAGTGTTCGAATTGAACGTTAGTTATGACATCGGCCATTTGGCAGGCTATTGCGCCATGATGGTGCATTGTGATCGGCCAAAGAAATGTACCTGACTGCAGGTCAGGTGCAATGCTTTGGTCAAACACAGAGCATGATGACGTCACAAGGGGGTGGGGGTGACCCTGCCCCTTGTGACGTCACCACAGTATTTAAAGAACTATCATCTCAGCGCAGCTGTCAGATGGTGGGAGCCAGAATCAATAGCAGAGCGTTTTTTTTTTTTTCTTTTTTTTGGGTCGGCGGTGGTGGTAGGCATCGTGATTGACCTTGAATCTACCTCAGGGGACATTTTTTACATTTTTGGTCTTGTCAAAGACTGTCTCCTGCCATTTTTTACACTACACTTTTTTTTTTTTTTGGTGAATGGGTAGCAGTACCATGTACCACATACTCATTCACATGGGGGGGGGGTGAGGATTCCGATAAGCCCCCTGCCTGCAGGACCCCCACAACAACTGGCCACGGTTGTGAGGAAGAGGCCCAATTAACATGGAGACAAGGTGCTGTGGTGCCCCAAAGCACCCCCCATGTTGAGGACATGTGGTCTGGTATGGTTCAGGAGGGGGCACTCGCTTCCCCCCCCCCCCTTCCCTGACCTGCCAGGCTGCGTGCTCAGAAAAGGGTCTGGTGGGGATTTTGGGGGGGACCCCACGGCACTTTTTAAAAAATGTTGGCATGGGGATTCCCCTCAAAATCCATACCAGACCTGAAGGACTTGGTATAGATGGAGGGGGGACACCATGCATTTAAAAAAAAAAAAAAAATGTTTTAATTGCCGGGCAATGTCGGCGATTCATCTTACATTCAGCTGTCAGCAGGGAAACCCCCGCTGACAGCTGACACATTAAAGAATGTTTTTAGTAGCTGTGCGGTATCTGACCCCCATTCAGATATGTGCAGCTGGTGCCGCTGCGGATCTGCACAAAAATCCGTGCAGCTGCACCACCCACACAGAGGAATGCGGATCCGCGGGCGGGTGCCATTAATTCCGCACTGGAAAACGCAACCGTACTGGGAACCGAGGTTCCTGTGCGGGCTGTGTTTTCTGAAGAAGTGCAGGGACTTCCCTGCGTGTCACGGGGCACGGGAGTCCATTCAAATGAATGGGCTCTCCTGTCCGAGCAAAACGCGGGCCGCAGGAACGCGGAGATGTGAACCTAGCCTTACCGCATACTCAGATGCTCCCGATGGCATACTCAGATGCGGTAAGATACCACTTAGTGAATTGTCCCCTCTGTTCAAAGTTCACAGTCAAACATTCGTTATGTTCAAATGTTCGACCGCGAACCAAACAGGGGGGTGTTTGGCCCATCACTACTGAATATTGAATTTAAAGGTGAATTAGTAAAATACAAAGAATGGTGTCAATGTCAGCAGTAATATGCTGCAGGATTACTTTTACCTTTATCAATGTATTTTTAATGAAAAAGAGGGGAGGAGGTCGGAGGAGAGGAGGTCGGAGGAGAAGAAGGAGGTCGGAGAAGGGTCAGAGGAGAAGAGGAGAAGAAGAGATCAAAGGAGAAGAAGAGGTCAGAGGAGAAGGAGGTCAGAGGAGGAGAAGAAGAAGAGGTCAGAGGAGGAGGAGAAGAAGAGGTCGGAGGAGGAGGAGAAGAAGAGGTCGGAGGAGGAGAAGAAGAGGTCGGTCGGAAGAGGAAGAGGAGAGAGGAAGAAGGAAGAAAGAAGAAGAAGAAGAAGAGAAGAGGAAGAGGAAGAGGAAGAGGAAGAAGAAGAAGAAGAAGAAGAAGAAGAAGAAGAAGAAGAGGAAAAGAAGAAGAGGTCAGAGGAGACGAAGAAGAGGTCAGAGGAGACGAAGAAGAGGTCAGAGGAGACGAAGAAGAGGTCAGAGGAGACGAAGAAGAGGTCAGAGGAGACGAAGAAGAGGTCAGAGGAGACGAAGAAGAGGTCAGAGGAGACGAAGAAGAGGTCAGAGGAGAAGAAAGGTCAGAGGAACGAAGAAGAGGTCAGAGGAGACGAAGCAGAGGTCAGAGGAGAAGAAGAAGAGGTCAGAGGAAAAGAAGAAGAAGAGGTCAGAGGAAAAGAAGAAGAGGTCAGAGGAAAAAGAAGAAGAGGTCAGAGGAGAAGAAGAAGAAGAGGTCAGAGAGAAAAGAAGAAGAAGAGGTCAGAGGAAAAGAAGAAGAAGAGGTCAGAGGAAAAGAAGAAGAGGTCAGAGGTCAGAGGAGAAGAAGAAGAGGTCGGAGGAGAAGATATTCTGTGTTATCTATCAGGAATTCCACACAAGACAGGACCGGATGCCACAAATACTCCCAGCTCTATACCAGTAATGTGCTGACATCTAGTGGACGATATCTAGAGCTGCATCTAAACTAGAAGCAGAAAGTTTATTTTGAAGAAAACCGCTTTTATAAAATCCATAAATCAGAATACAAAGTGGGCGACGTAACAAGATTATGCCAGGCTAAGGTAGCCACAGGAAAGTTGGGTAAACCACTTCCAGTTAATGAAGATGGGGAGAACTAACAAAACGAGCCGAAGAGATTTCTAGTTTTAAAAAAAAAAAAAAAAAAAAAAAAATGTATTGTTTGTAAATAAAATACCAACTTACTTCAGTAATCAAGCTGGTCACATGAGGTGCGGGGTCCTGGATCTTCTCCCGATGGTGGGTAGTCACACTGATGCAAACAGTGGAGTTTATGGGCCACTTTCTGCAGCATCACACTTTGAATCCAGGGGGCGCTGTGGTGACATTCTCAGGGACGGGCCAGGGACACCCATGTTCAATTTCTGTCACCCCCAATGTCCTGTTAACCATAAGACTGAGGACATTTTGGCCAAAAAGGTACCTTGGGGGCCATTGCTGGAAAGGAGGTGAACAGCCAGAGCCTCTTTTTAAAAAAAAAAAAAAGGAGGAGAAATCGTGGCCTGGAGTTGTGGAGTTGGGTAAAAGGGGGTGGGGTGAGCTGGCCCACCATAGCCCTATCTGGACCCTCTGGCAGTAGACTGGGTTTACTGGGAAGCTTACTTCTCAATGCTCAGAGCACCTTTAACCAGTTGAGCGCCAGAAGGTTTTCCCCCTTCATGACCAGGTCACTTTTTTTTTTGCTATTCAGCACTGCACTACTTTAACTGCCAATGCAGTTATGCAATGCAATACCCAAATGAAACTTATGTCATTTTTTTTCATACAAATAGAGTTTTCCTTTTGATATTATTTCAACAGCACTGGTATTTTTTTCTATTTTATAAATGAAAAAAAGACCAAAATTAAAAAAAAAAAATTAATAATAATTCTTATATTCTGCTATAAAAAAAAATTAAAAAAAAATCTAAATTTCGTCATAAAAACTTTAGGCCAAAATGTATTCTGCTACATGGGGGGGAAAAAACCCCAATAAGTGTATATTGATTGGTTTGCATGAACGTTATAGCGTCTACAAACTATGGGATTTTTTTTTTTTTTTGAATACTTAAATTTTTTGTTTATTACCTAATA